TTTATTCGTCAGTTTGAATTCAATCTGTGACGATTAATTTTCACAATTTAGGAAACATTCTCTACAAGTACAAAGCAAAATAAATGGTTCGCGGTGATTAATGTTCGCTAGTTAAAGTAGGTCGCAAAACTCACGGATATTTCTCGCACGCAAATAAAAGTTGGTTTACAGTAGTTAAAAGGCTGATAGTCACAAAAGATAAAAACACAAAGAAAATCTAATAAACAGAAAATTCAATGTTTTATAGTTGGATATGTAATTTAATGCACTCATGAGAGAGGTTTATACAGATATACAGTTGAACTGCGGTATCTCGAACACGGATATCTCGAATTCTATGGATATGTCAAATTGATTTTGAAGTCCTAACTGCTTATTCCTTAAGTATTTTACCCTGGATATCTCGAATCCTTGGTTATCTCGAAGTATTTTCTCTGTCCCTTCGAGTTCAAGATAGCGAGGTTTGACTGTATATATATTTTCACAGGTTCTTTGCACTCTTGAAAATATATTAAAAAATAAAACAAATCTTGTCTCACGTACAAAAATGTTGAATATCCCCTATATTGAAAAAATAAGTTATCATTTTAAAAATTTTGTCAGGATATAAATTCGGGTTGGTATGTGATCAAATCTACCATAAAGCCTAGCTTTCGGGCTTTATGGGATTTGATCATGACCAACCCCTATTTACATCCCAATAAAAGTTTTAAATTGATACCTTAACACATACATTTATAACCGATTTTTAGCAAATATTTGGGTACTATAGTTTTAAAATCATGAAATGATTTTTTTTTCAAACCTCAACGGTATAAAATGTGTTGCACACATCAACTACTTATGAAATTTTGTCAATCATTTATGATTAAACAATGAATTTATGGTCAGCAAACCTGTTTATACAAAGAATTAAATATGCCTTAGTTTGTGTTAAATATGGGAAAACATTTGCAAATGTAAATATATAATTATGCATAATTATAATGAACATTTAATTGATTTAATGTAAAAAGAAGAAAATAATCAATTTTTCTCTTTCAAAGTATTTACAGTATTATTAATTTTGGATTCCTATTTTTCCATGGAGGCGGCACCAGAGTTTTTTGTGCAGTATACATGAGATACGTGTGTATTTTTTTCTGGTCCAAATTATTTATTAATTATTTGACTTTTATGAAGTCTGTATCATCAAATTGTGACAAATTTATCAAACATATTGTGAAAGCATAGAAAAAAATGAAAGCCCCAATTTCAGATCTCAATTAACACTTCTTGGAAATTATTATCTAAAAAATTACATCATAGATACCCATCTTTGAAAAAGTAATAAATTTTATGTTTAAGATGCAGTTACTATGCAGAAAGGTTATATTAAATGACTTAGTCAACAAGAAAAAGCATATTGACACCCCTCCTCCCCTTTCTGGTTTTGATTTTTAAGTTAGCTATGTGTGAAGATAATAAAAAGATATACTTGACAAAAAATTCTGAAGACTTTGATAGCATGATCAACCTCATTAAAAACTCCAGACATTTAAAGATCAAAACAGTTTGCTATTTACTAATAGACAAAGAGACATGCTATATTTTATTGAATTAATTTGAACCTATATTAAAAAGAAAACAATGTGTCGCTACTGACTAAGAGGCTAATGACTAATTATACCCCCTGCAAACAAAGTTTTTGGGGGGGTAGGGGGTTATATAGGAATCACCTTGTCCGTTTGTCTATCTAGCTCTCTGTCTGTGCAAACATGTCCGGTGCATATCTTTCTTATGTAGGAACATTAGAATCTTCTACTTCACACAAAGATTGTTCATGACCTGAGGGTGTGTCATGACCTTGACCCAAGGTCATTTGGGCAAGTTCAAGGTCACTGACAGAAAAAGTTCATAATTTGTGTTCGGACCATTTTTTTCTTATGGAAAATAATGTTGGGATGTTGGGAGATTGCTTATGACCTGAGGGTATGTCATGATCTTGACCTATAGTCACTGAAGAAAAAATGAATAAATAATTCAGAGTTGTGGAAAACTGTCGGTCATGCCGGTAGAACTGACTAAAAATGCATATGACCGGTAAAAACGCCATCAATGTTGGTTCAAAGGACCGGCCCTCTTTTTGGTTAAGTTTCGTTTTTCCTGTTATCATCAGCACACTTTCCAGCCCAATTATCGTATAAAGTGCGATTGCGTAATACTTTTACTTTACACGTAATCAAGGCTAATGAAAGTGAAACCAGCATGGCCTCGTGGTCCATTAAATTTACAACTGGAGTGAAACCAAGTAAAAATAGATGGAGACAAAGCTTAATATGAAAAATAAAAAATTCAAACACAGTTAGGGCAAGCGGTAAATCTAGTAGTCCAGACTGTCCCGGATTTCGGTTTTTCATTGATCATCTTGATATCTTTATTATTGATGCACAGAATTTCTTCATTTTTTATAGACACATTTTCTAGGTTGATATTAATTCCCCAGTGCATAAATGTTTCAACAAAATTATGTATACTATCCTAAATTAGCATTGTCAACTGCCAGAAAGCAGTAAATCTAGTACTTTGTTAAATGCAAAAGCTGAAAACAGACGAGGACTTAGAAATGGAGTCTGAGTAAATGTTATATTATTATGAAGTAAAAAGATGTGTAATGAAGTAAATAAATGTTATATATTTTGTTTATTTGATTTGGTGGTGGTGGTGGTGGGGGGGGGGGGGGGGGGGCGTTTTTGTTTTTGTTTTTTCGGACTGGCTAAAATCACTTCAGACCGGCTTATTTTGTCTTCTTGCCAGTCTGAATGACTGGCTATCTGAAAACGTTTCCACAACTTTGATAATGCATCCATACTTTCCAATACCGAGAAATACTTGAAAAAATTGATATTTATTTTTTCAATGTTAAAAAAAAACAATGTTATTATTAGTATTGCTATTTTATTAGGCTGCACTTTAGTTTCATTCATTAAAAAAATAATATGAGCAATTACCAGTAAATTTTCACTCTAAATGTTTAAAAAAAATTGTAAACATCTCTTAGATTCATCAAATACTAGTATTAGTGACTTGGTATCTTTTCTGAAAAACCCAGCGGGGGGTATTTGTCCATTTTGGACAGTTCTAGTTAATAAATTGTCAGAACATGATGGGGTCTTAATTCAAGGTAGTTAATTGAGATAACAGTCCAATAATCTCTGAGAATAATGTGATTAACAATTAATAATATTGCATAGGTTTATAGTTTTTCCCAGTACTCGAGTACTGATTTTTGAATTCGATACTTGTTGGACCTTTCGACTTGTACTCCAGTAACCAGTTACTCATTGAAAAAATAGAGAGAGAGAGAGAGAATATTCAATATTTTGTATTTGAATATGGAATTTATTTCACTTATGGGCAAATGTAAACAAGTAAGATGGCATGAGCTGCTTAACGAGTTCCTATCATTTAATCGTTTAATCATATAATAAAATAATTATTGCTGTTTTTTCAGTCAATACGATAATTTAGCCACCTTTGAAGTACAATATTCACCTCGCTCTTTGGGCTCGGTGAATATTGTATTCCTCAGGTGGCTAAATCATGGTATTGACCTCAAAAACAGCAATAATTATATAATATGCACACCTTGTATATGATTGACTTACTTAAGCCTAATTTTATTCCTACGTGCACTGTACCAGCATTGTTTACAATTGTACAAAAAGCAAATTAAGATGCACCTGAGAAATTAATAAAAGCTTTCTCAATTCAAATTTTAAAAAAAATACAGGGTTGGGTTTTTTTCCTCACACTAGACAGATGTTGATGCTGATTGATTTGGCTAGGGGCCTTTGGTATAAAATGATTCTTCCAGATGGAAATTCAATAGATCGTTATTTGCACAATTACATGTGCACATGATAGTGTGCTGAATTTTTTTTTTATGTTTGCCGTAATTATTGACTGTATGACTCAATATCATTTCCTGGCTGTTTATCTGGTGAAAACCGCTTCATTTCCTTAGTAAAACCCAGATGGAGGGTTAGATAACACGGTTCTGGAATAAATTGACATCCCACCAGACAAAAAAACATAATTTTTATTATCACCCTCAATGATAATGTTAATTATCAGATTGACAGTTCAAAGTGTGGAAAAAAAAATTTTATCTGCATAATTTTTTTTTCTAAACATGTCTGTAGAGTTGATCATAATATTTTCATTGATTTAATGCACAAATTACCTTGACCCATAAATTAAGTCAATTTTCACCTCCTAATCATAATTTTTGCACAATTTAGATCAAAAAAATTGGATCAGAAATTTCTACTTATCAGCATCCATTTTAGCATATAACTTGGTCATGTAATTAATTGTGGTAACTATATTTTGATGAGGAGTGATTTAAATTTAACAACTCTAACTGCACTGTGGTTGTAAAATTTCTTATGAAAGCTGATTCAGTGCTCTGAGCATTTATTGATCCATAAATGAGGCTTACATCTACCACAGTGTTTATTAAGCAAATTGAACTGATTGTATTTTGAACAATTTTAGCAGTTTTTTGTATGACCATTCCACACCAAATTTGGTTTAGAATGAGAAAATTAATATCAAACATTGTGTTTGTCGCACAAAGATGATTTCATTATTTTTCCAAATGGGTAGATTCTCCAAAAAACGTATAAGATTAATTCCGGACAGTTCAACTGATTAAAAAATCTAAAAATCAAAAACATTTAAAAAATCACAATTAAACTTCAGAATCTTGAATTTCCATACTTTGAATGCCATGGATATGTCAAATTGATTTGGAAGTCCCAACCACCTTTTCCTAATTTATTTTAATCTCAATACATGTATCTGGAATCCATGGTTAATACAATTTTTTTTTTTTTTTTTTGGGGGGGGGGGGGGGGTTCCATCATTTACTTTATCTCCATTCAGTTGGATTTAAGGAATGACCAAATATACACAGAGTAATATTGATTTAATGATATGTGTCTTACTGTTTTTAGGAAATTCTGGTAGAGCAAAAAAGAGAACAGACCACCATGGCCATGTTTACAGAGACAGAACAGGATGACAACAGTCAAGCTCCTTCAACATCGACTCGAGAACAGGCCAGCAGTGGAGAGCGGACTCGGGACTCTGTGGGAAACTTTGTTGGGCGAGTCCAGAAAAACAAAAAGAGACAGAGCATTGCTGAGCTCAATGAGAGTATATCTGAGTCTAATGTTCACATGCAGAGTCTTTGTAATCAGGCTCAGAGTCTGAGGAATCAATCGAAGATGAGAAAAAACACAAACATCATGTACCAGCTAGAGCTGATCAGAAAACAACAGGAAGAACTACTTAAACTGCAGAGGGAGCTCCAGCAACAACTTCAGATGGAGGCTGAGTACCAAGAGGTCGAAGGTCACACAGATAACCAGAGAGACGAGAGTGGGAATTTTGCATTGGATGCGAAAGTCAGTGACTTGATTTCATCATCTGAGCAGATGCTGACTTTACAGAGTGATGAACAAACTCAGAATTTAGAAAGCATTCAAGAGGAAGAAAGAAATAATAACAATTATGACTCGCCATTTGTTGTGAAATCACCTTTGATTCCATGTTCAATACAGGAGAGTTTTTCAGTGTCACAGCCATCAGGTCTACCCTTAGCTTCAAATACACTACTTAGCACACCAAAGGCACCTCATATTTCAGACATTGTTCAAAAGTCTTTGCTTACACCTAGGCTTAGCAATCTTACTTGTGATTCACAAAATCGTTTTCCCTTTATTCAGTCACCAAAACCATTAAAACCAGCCCCACCTTCAAAGAGGGAAGGTGCTAAGTCACCCTCTCCTCCTCCAATATGGACTGCTATGGCTCTTAAGAGTGAAGCTGAGCGCCACTCAACATCAGATCCTTCAACTCCCTCCACCAAGAGAAGACTCGAGCAGGAACCAGACTATGCAAAAGCTGCTGACGAACCCATGGACTTGAGTCTAAAATCATTGACTGAGACAAGTTTCAATAGTTCTGCTGAACACCTTCCCTTGAATAAAAGAAGTATGACTTCTGAAAGCACTTTATCTACTTCTTCCCCAAAACTTTTTCACTCACAAGACATTGGGTCACTTTCGCTTAGAGCCAATACACTGCAATCTCAAATTATTTCCCATAATGTTCCATCTTCCCATCCCAGCAGCAGACATTTTCAACCAACTCAGGAAATCCCCCTGTATAAAGAGGTGTTGTCAATAGCAAATGAGCAGAGGTATCGTGAGGCCCTTTTAGACGATGAGTGCGCTCGATATTGCTGTCGTTTACAGGCTGCTCAGTCCCTGGTGTTTTGGTCTGAGAGGTGCATCAACCCTGTGTCAATTGTTCTATCCCAGGGAGATGAAATGGTAAGTTTTAAACCAGAACACAATCTTGTTAGAGCCTCAAATGATCAATAGATTTAAGCTTGATGTCTGCAGAATGGAAAATTCAATTTTGCTGCACATTACTCAGGTGAACTTTACAGCCACTGAGCATTAGCTCATGATAGAAGTGCATTGTACAGTAGAACCTGGTTACATTGCTTATATTGAATACTTGCTTAATACAGCCAAGTGATTTTCATTCCCTGTTATTGAACAGATACAAAGAATTATGTTTATAACAAATCACAATTGTTTGCCCCTGGCACTTTGCTATAAGTGTGTTTTACAGTACATTATAGTGCATTGAGGACATGATCCCAATGAGTGTCTAGGGACACTTATATGACTATAGATCAATGTCTGCTTCAGACATGATCAGATTTAATCGCAATGACTGGTTGACAGAGAATTCTAGATGCCCTATTGATATAATAAGTATAAATAAATGCCATTTAGCTTGCTTTCGATAACAAACCTTTAGCTTCCTTGGATAACAAACCTTAGCTTCCTTCGGCATGGTTATCTCTGCCGAGTTTGATTGATGAAGGGTTCTTGACCTTATAACCTATAGCTTCTTGTGAGCAATTAAAACACTAAACATTTCAATAAAGTATTCTTTAGGCAGAATGTCGGTGATTGCTGTTCATTGAAATGATAGGAAGAGCCGATCTAAAGAGGTTTAATACAAATTACCGGAGATACATTAGAACAACTTGGCATATTTACTGCATTTGTATAAAAGTAAGAGCCAGAAATATTTTTATTCTGTGAAAGATTTGGGGTTTATTATAATCATGTAGACTATTAAGAAGACAAATCGGTGTAAAAATCTAGACTGCATTTTAAATTCCATGTTGTGTATTGTGTTAAATGCACTACAAATTTGTAAGACATTCTAATGAAATCGGCATAACATACCAAGTTACTCAAATTGCATTTCCTATCAATGCTCAGACAGAGTTAAAGAATTGTGTTTTTACGTCCCACATTGGACGTTTATATTTGAAGGAAATAGGGTATCAGTGTCAGGTTGATCGTGGAACAGGGTAATAAAAAAAAGTATCTTAGATCTAGGATAATGACTGTCACTGGTGATATATTTATCATTCGAGTGCTTAAAGGTGATATCACTTTTTTGTTGTACAGACACTATGATAAGTGAAGCACAAACATGCAACAAATTCAGGTTTAGAAACATTTCTAGTGGATTGTGCAAGAAATATGAAAGGATATGACAGAATTTTTTGCAGTTAATGAACACGATACTTCTAAGGAGGTCGTGTGACCTTTAGTTGAGAGTTATTAGGTCAAATAGAAGAATTTATGCTGGGTTCTCACAATCAATGAAAACCAAATGCTCTATAATTGTGGCAGATAAGCTGCATTTTTTTCCACATCTGATGAAATCTTTTTAGCACTTGATAACATATGTCAGTATATCAAAACTGCTAATCATGTCTGTATTGAAGCTGTTTGTAATCTCTAGTCTTTGGCTCCAAAATTTTGTTTTTACAGCTCACCTGAACCAAGGTCATACATATATTGATATAAGTATATTTGACATTTCATAAAATTACTTGTATTTCAGATATGAAGGAAACTGGAATGTGAATTCATATGAATAAATAAATAAAATTAATGTATTGTAGATTTCATGGATTGTAAAAGTCTGACCTTATACTTTTTTAACATTTTAACTGAAAGATTGTTTTCATCAAGTGCTTTCCCATACATTTTACCTGAAATATTTTAGCATAATAATTAAAGTAAAACATGCTTATAGCAAAGGGCCAGGGATGAACAATTTTGATTGTTATAAATATAATTCATTATGTCTGTTAAGATTACAATACTTTTTGAAACCACAGGGATAGAAAATCATTTCATTGTAAGTGTAAATTCACGTTAAGCATGTTTGCAATAACAGTGTTTTACTGTATAATTATGATAAATGAGCTATGTATTTTTTTTTTAATTTAATGGAGTGAAATGAAATAGATCATGAAATTTATTTTAATACCAAGAGAGAGCTTAGTTCAAATGGGAAACAGTATAGTTTTGTTGATTTCCTTGCATGTCTGATATCTCAGTATTCTGTGACCAATGACTTTTCTCTATTTTCAGCACTTTGTACCGATACATGAAGAATTGATACTACCAGTGACCGTGGGAGGAGATTCAGCATTTTACTCCTATTCTCCTTGATAAGGACACTCGGCTTAAATGACCTCATTCAGGTCAGAACAGTTAAATACTGGACTGTTGACATGGATCAGTGAGGATTAAACTGCTGTTAAGAATGTGACACATTGATGGAAACTAAAACATTGTGAGGACAGAAGTGGTACCAGTTTGTGGCATCTGGTTAAAGATGCAGAATAATGTGACCTTGAAGTATAGTTCATTTTTTGACCTTGACCTGGAAAGAGACTGTAATGTATATTTGTGTTGATGTGGTCAAAGAAAAAAAAATTGTTACATTGACATGAATTTTTTACTCAGTACCTGGCAGGGATTGTTGTGTTTTTTTGTACTGGATTTTGTTGAGATACGGGTCAAGGGTCAAAGTGATAAGTATTACTGAGAAAGTGTTATCGCTGTTGTTTTTACAGTTGGTTGTATTAAAAATGTGTACCTATATAATAAAAGTATTATGGGTGTTGTATAGTGTTAGGATATGTTGCTCTTGAAGCACAGTTGTTGTTGGACTGGTTCCCTTCTCCCGATAATCTCCATGATGTGTACTTTGTGTGTAATTAGTGAAAGTGGACCAGTTAAAAAAAGAAGTGCAATGAAGATTTGAATCAAACTGTTTTCCCTTGTTCCTTATTACTGTTTTCTTACTTCATATAAATGTAATTTTTACTCAAACAAGACTATGATTAAATCAATTAACTTGTCATTTGAAAGAGAATTTGGTGTGGAGACAGCTATTTGGATATGAATAAGGAAATTGGGTTTTAAAAAAAAATCTTTTCTGAGATAGAACAAGATGCAGTTATATCAGAGTAATATTTTTTTTTTTTTTTTTTTTTTTGCTGAATTGTTGTTATATTATGGACACCAGCATTATAAGTGTAGTCACTTTCTGTGAAGACTCTAGATCAGAATTTTTAGTATTGCATGGTTTTCAAACATGAATGAAAATTGTTATATAGTTTTTTTTCATTTGAATTGATTTTTTTCTGTAAAAACTTGATATGTTAAAAATTTAACTTTGATACCATTGATAATTTTCATACAGATTAAAAGCACAGCAACCTTCATCTCAATTGATCCTTCTAAGGTTTTTTTTTGCAGTTATGAGTAGCTGTGACCACACTAAATTCTTAAAATTCATGTTCTGACAATCAATTTTGACCTGCATGTTGCATTGTTATGGTTCACTTTTTATAGTTAAACCATTGTACAGTGTTCAGATTTATTTTTCTCTAAGTCAGTACATATAACAATATATTGCATAAAAGCAAAATATTTCAAGGGCTTAGAAAGAGCACTGGAAAGAAAAAGATTCAACTAGGAAAGCTAATTTAAGGAAAAAGAGAAGTGAGTATCTTATGCGACTACAAAATGGCACACTTAATTAGTATGCAACTTAATCTTTTTCAAATGAATTAAATTATTTTTAGGAAGGAAAAGTAGCATTCTGAATTGTTGCTGGTCTTGAATAAGTAAGCATATATTGAAAGATCATGTAAAAATCATTTTCTTAAAGGAAAAGGGTTTTGGTTTTATTAAGTTTTGACATGTACATAGTTTTGTATATATATTTGTTATTAAATGCGCACAGGGACATTTGAGTGAAATTAGCTGCAAGTAATTCATTTCTTTTTGTCTCTGAAAATGTATGCCAACGTAAAGCCAGGAAAATTTTATTAGATTGTAATTAGCCTGCAACTTTTTTGTAGATATGTAAAGAACCTTGTTGATTAGTGTAATGAGATGAGCTGTGATATATATTCACTGTAGCCTTTTTAGAAAGACATCTTTTGGAAGAAAAAATATTATAGGTGCTATATGAGTTTATGAGTACTTGTATTATACAACATTGTCAGTAATAAATCAGGGAAAACCTAAAGCAAAACAAAAGAAAAATATGATTAAATTGTATGCATGTGTAAACTACATGTAGGTGAATCATTAACAACTTCTGTATGTTTGACAACATTTATAAACATTCAAGAGTAAAGCAGTGTTTAGAAAATTTATCATGTTTGATAAGTCAGATGTTCCATTAGTATAGATGTACCAAATACTGTGAAATCAGTAATTTTCAAGGAGGAGGGGGGTGTCAATTTTTATTGTTTTTTGTGGTATAAAAAGACATGAATTGATTTAATTCACATCCCCCATGAAATGTCAAAATTTCATACTGCAATATCATGTTTCAATCACAAAATCAAATCCCCTTAAACAAGTATTTTTTCTTCAAACCACAAAGATTTGACCCCACAAAAATAAGTGAATTTTTTTTTTACAGTATTCTTTTTAAAGATCAATGAAGTAAGTCCTCACATAGAATTTTTCAGAGGTATGCATGTTTTTAACACCACCTCCCCTTCCCTATTTTCCCTCTCAAAAGAAACTTTTTTTTCCCCACCTATCATAAGTCCACAGTTTGCTCCAAATGAAGTTTTTTGTAATGCTTTTATTTTGAAAAAAAAATCCCTTCTGTCTCTCCTCTTTTCTATTGTCTCTTAATTTACATGTTAGTAGAAGTAGCCATGTCCTGTGTTTAGTGTTGATATGTAAGGTTTAGATGAAAACGAACAGGTGCTGGTCACCTTTTTAACTTCTCTGTTTGTCCTTGTCTCTATAGAAATCAAAGAACGAAGACATTGCAACATTGTGTTTAGCTTTAAGTTAAAGATACTAGTGGGTTTTTTTTTGGGGGGGGGGGGGAGGGGGGTTTAAATCAAAAAGAAAGAAATAATAAGAAAAAAGTACTTGTAGAAGTTATTTTTAGATTTGCTTGTGCAATACATATACTGTACTTTCTTTGGAGTATATGAGCATTTTCATGCATTGTTAAATTGTAATGTTGATTTTCTTCATTAAGCTAATTGCAATTTGTAATGGACTGAATACATGTTTGTGTCAATTAACATTCGTAAGCATACAAATTCAGTTTTCCGTGATCTCAGTATGTAGAGGAACTATTCGCTTTTTCGGGAGCCTTTATTTTATTTTTTTTTTTTCCCCAACATTCCTGCATAGATTTTTCAACATCATTTTGTGACCAACAATGGAAAGCAGATAATTAATCTAAAACATATACAGTCAAGCTTCGTTAATCCAGGTGCTTGTCTTCCTGTAAGCAAATCGTCAGGATAACTGAACTGGACGTTTTATAATTGGTTAGATATTAATATTCAATCTATTTCAAACGATTTGGCCCTGAAGTTGAAATGTCCTGATTATTGGCCTCTAACATAACGAGGTTTCACTGTATTAAAGTAATAGCTGATCACAATTGCTTATTTGTTTACAACCAAAGTTCAGAGACATGTCATATAATACCATACCATTAGAAAATATTAACCATGGATGGATTTTTATAAAAATTTTGATTTTTGAAAACAGTTAAAGCTTTGCTAAATATTATGAAGGTTTTTAGCTCTATTGGTCTGAGACCAGAAGAGCTTATGCAATATAGTAAGGTGTCCATCATTTGTCTGTCTGTAACAATTATTCAAAACACTACTCTTATAGTTTTGGTCTAATTCCAATAAGACATCGTACACAAGTACACTGTACTAGGATAACTAATTCTGTATATCTGTTTTGATTTTGACAGTGTTGCCATGGTTACTGAAAAAAAGAATTTCTGTGAAACTCTTTTTAATTGCCCATTCTCCTATAGTTTTTAACCAATTTCAGTAAGACTTATATACACCAAGTACACACCAGTAGAGCTTCAGTTTCGTCAGAGACTTCTGGCTCCAAATGAGACCAAACTACCCAAAAATTGCTTGATTCAAATAAGTTATGGTCTGTTTAAATAATTTTGCATGAAATTTCAAAAGTCTGTGTCAAAATCACCTTTTTCTGAAATTGGAAATCAAGATAGAAAATAGTTACAATATAATATCTATACTTATAAATTAATAAATTTTGCAAATAAACTCCGAAACGGGTGCACCAGAGTTCATACTAACTCCTCTAAGAATACACTAGATACAAGATGATGTCCGTAAACTATATTTAGATTTCACTCGGATAGTTAGTATCGTACATTAAATTAAAAGTCTACCCTCATTTTCTATAAACAGCCATGAAATAGCAAAAACATGAGTACGGTGGCGTTTCCGGTTGGCGGATTTAAGTTACTGGCAATTTTTAATGACACTGACAACAAACAATCGTTCATTTATTTCATAAAACGTTATCACTGAATTATTCAATCAAAACTTGATTTAAATGATATAAAAGAGATAAGGTGTGATACCCGATTAAAAAGGGAAATGTGCAAATTATTTTCGTCATTCACCGATCTTAATATTGACGGAAGCTTCTAGAACATCATATAGCATCGAGCCCGATGTTAAAAAAAAAACGAGGCTATTATGCTACATGAATATAAAAAAAGCTTTTGTGTGAATGGTCATTTAAATAATGGTAAATCATTGATAACACTATAAGTTTTGAATATATTTATATATCGAAAGACTAAAAACATATATGTAGTAGGTTTTCCTAATAAATTTATCGGTAAAATCCTCACTGAGAGCATCCTTGCAACGAACCCGAAGTACAATTTGTACTTCGTAATAAACTTGCTTACATGAAAAGAGAAAATTAATGAATAAGGTATTGTTCAAATACAATCAAAGCTGTAAACTTTTGTGCTTTAATCAATACATTTCAGTTATTTTTCTGAATACAGTCCTTCGTATCAAATACTCGGCCTATTCATAGGGCGTTAAAAGCTAATTTTTACACAGGTACTTGAGTCTTGGTTTATAAATACGTATGTACCTTATTGATACATGTATGTAAAAAAGTAAAGTACATTTTTTACATATCGATAAGGTACGTACATATTTATAAAGCAAGGCCCAAGTACCAGTGAATTTTAACCCCCCCCCCCCCCCAAATCAATTTATAAGTAAAATGTGCATAATCGCTGCTTTTATCCTTGAGGGAAATGAAATAAGAGGGTAACGGGATGTTTCGCACCTAAGCATGGTTCGCGCTACGATGTTTCGCACCGATTCCGTTTCGCGCTTAGATGGTTCGCCCCACATTGTTGTACAAATATGTGCTAGCCTACTGAAGTTCGTTTAACAAAATTTTTAGATTTTAAACATGTTATATGGTGTAAATTTTGATATTTTTTGAAACATTTTTTTTAATTCAAGAAGATTATATTTGTAGCAGAGACATAATTATTTATGTCTGTGTTTGAAGTATACATAGCATATAATTATGTATGTATAATTATGTATTATTTTAACACCATGCTAATTATAATACCGCCATATCTAATTAAGTAATTATTGCTGGTTTGACTACCAACACGTCCATTAATAAATTCTCACCTTTCGATCTACAACTAATTACAATTAAATCCTCATGGAATATTTGATGAACACGATCCGTAATCTTTGGCAGTGCATACATATTATTAAGTCATGCATTTGAACACACAACATCTATATATGTATATCTTATAATTGATAAACAATTTTTTAAAATTGATAAAAATGTCATTGAATATTTAAAATAAATCGTGAGATGTTTTGCACCTAAATCGGCGCGAATCATTTAGGCGCGAACCATCTCAGTGCGAAACAGTATCGGCGCGAAACATCCCGGATTCAATAAGAGCATCTGAAGTACAATATCCATAAAATAGTGTAACAGGTTTCACAATAAACGCCAATTAATGAAATTGTTTTTTTTTCTTTCAAATTTTCACAAATGGGGGGAGGGGGGCGTACATCTACTTCCTGCAGAATTTTGAACAAAGTATTTCTTCCTGCTATAAGCCTGTAGGCTGTCAGTAGAAACTACAATATATTTTCTGTCGGTAGTAGTATAAATTCAATTCCCCGCGCTTGCGCGGGATTTCATCTAGTATAATATACATGTACGTAATATGTAGATTCTGAATGTATCTGAAAACTATGACCTGAAAGACTGCATACCTAACAATGGTATGTCCAAAGAAGAATCACGATTATTCTTTACTGTTATGTATTATCAGATCTTAAGCTTTTGTTTGGTTTATCAATCATTTTGATTTAATATTGGTAAGACTACAGGTTTTGTATACCTCAGTTATTCCACAGTGTTTTGTTGGTATTTCCAGGTGTAATCTATTACTGACCTTTGTATTTTTTTCTTTTCTTTTTTTTTTACCTTGTTTCTTTCCACAGTTGTCAGAAGACAGGCTTTTATAGAAAAAAAATGGATACATTGTTTTCAAATAAAAAATAGATGTTATTAATTGAATTGTTCTTACTTTTGGAGTATCCTTGAGCAAAGTACTGTAATTTTAATAAAGATAGGGATGTAATCCTTGAACAAGAGGAGATTTGGGGGGGGGGGGTAGAAATTAGTGCTTTCTCTCAGAACCACTGGTCAGATTTTCACCAAATTTCTACACAAGGATGCCTGTAGATTTAAATTTGGCATCATCCTAAAAAAAGGCCTCACAAGTATGGTATCTCAATTGTAGGTCTGGTTACTTTGATATTATTGTGCTAGTCATTTTCAAATTGTTTAAATTGTGTATATATACACTATACAGGGCTCTAATTGGCGTCTAATTTAGTCGCCATGGCGCCTAAAAATTTTTGATTGGCGCCTAAAAATTTTCCATAAGTCGCCAAATTGGCGACCATTTAAAATTGACCTCGATCGTCGAATTCCGGAAATTTTCACCTTTTTAACAATTTTTCTGAAAAAAAGCAAAAAAAATTTAAAAGAAGAGGAAATCATATTTTAGGAATGGACAAGTCATGTTTTCTAAGGCACGTCATGGGTCCCTATATTCTATTAACTTTTAAAGTTGGTGCCTTAGAAAAATTGCCTGGCGACTAAAAATTTGCATTGACGACTAAATTTTTTTGATAAGGCGCCAGCTGGCGCCTAAATTTTAGAGGCCTGCTATAAAAAAAACTCTGGGCCATTAAATTTTGTCATTTTGGTGGGTGTCAACCAAATAGAAAAATCACAGTGACTTACTTTTTGAGTTATAAGGCTCTTCATTTCCAAATCTTTCAGCTAAATATATGTATACTAAGAGCAGGCGCGGATCCAGGAATTTTTTCCTATTTCGTGGTGGTGATGGTGGGGTCCACGTTTTCTAGAGGGGGTACAAAGTCATTTTTTATTTGCTTCAGTATATACTTTTAGTAACTCTGCAAATTCCAGGGGGGGGGGGGGTCCGGACCCCCCAACCCCCTCTAGATCCGCGCATGAAGAGGCCTGGCATCAACAAACCTTGTCAGTTGATGCATGATTTGACCTCGCAAAATGTTCATCTAAAGTAGGTCACAGTGACCTATGTTATAAAATTTTTGAAATCTTCACCTTTATATTTGAACCAGGGTCAATTCAGAGGTGGTCACAATGACCTACTTTTTCAATTTCATTAATATTCCTTGTCAAATCTTTTAGCTGAGAGAAAAGGATCACAGATCCTTGACAGTTTATTTCCCTTGAGGCCTCAGGTTATGCAAAAAAAAAGTAATCAAGAAAGCCCACTTTTCTCGTTATTTTTTTTCTCTCACAATTATAGAAAAGTTCAATATTAGTGATTACGAAATCGTTTGTTACCTTTCCTGTGGTAACAGGTGAATGTGTATAACATAGGGTAAGTCCGCGTGGATCAGTGGTTAAAGCGTTTCGTTTTATAGTCGCGGAGTAAGAAGTTGATC